CAGCTCCGTCCGACAAGAAGGTAACATTCTCGCATGTTGAGGACGAAGCAGAGCCCCATCGAGAGGACATCGAATTGCCAACGGAAGTGCAAGAGGCCACGCAGGAGGCCGCTCAACGAAAGAAATGGACGAAGATGAGGTGAGTCCACTGTGTCGAATTCAATGGACTGCATGTGAAAATTTTCAGCTTTCTATATCGAATCTATGAGTTCATAAATATTTACACACTTACATATGTGCATTGCTTTCAGACACAATAATTTGCTAATACATTTCATGAAACTGTTACTAACTTCACGCAACTGCAGGCAGGCAAACAAGAAAAATGCACAAATGCAATGTCTGATCAAATAATCTTAACCAACACCCACTAATTCATATATGTAAATATAAATCGACATGCACACACANGACCTCTTTCGATTTGGATGAAATTTGGTCAGAAGTTTTCTTTCAACCTATAATGACGTTTCACTAACAGAAAAAAATTAAAAAAAAAACGTTGCAAAAGTTATGCGGAATTCGAAATTTCACTATTTTTCCAGTTTTTCAAGTTAATTTTTTTAATATATCAAAAACTATTATAGCTGCAAAAAACACCTTGGACTGATTTTGAAGAGGTTACTTGGGGCTACAAATATGTATATATTTATTAAAAATAATAAATAAATAAAAAATAAAAAATTGCAAAATTGCTAAATTTTCAAAATTGAATAAATCAAAAATTAATATTTTTTGGGCTATTTATTTTTTGCATCATACATCTGCATGTTCTTAAAAGATTCTAAAATTTTCACGGAGGTGTTTTTTGTTTTTTAAAAGATATGAATTTTTGAGTTTAGGAAAAAATAAACTTTTTTCTTTCGCAATCCATTATCTGTTAAAATTTTATCAAATTAATACTAAATTTTAGTATTTTGAGTATTAAGTGTAAGGCGAGTAAACGACAACAAAGCACAGCATACCCTTGGTAATAGTGAAAAATTTAAATCAAAAAAAAAAAAAAAATGGAATTTTATATCCATTCTCAAAATACATATATTATGTTAGCTAGGTCGTTTTCCCTCCTTTTTCTGACGTTGATGCCTCATCCCTTCGTCTTAATCTGGAAATGTTAAAATGATTTTAAAATTGAATGGGAATCAAATATTAATACTCAAAATCTTAACTTTTACCTGGTTTTCTAAAAGCCTGGTTTACACTAATCGCCGGCTAAAAATCGTTATCGTTACACCCTGTTATACCGTTACCGACACGCTGTTATATGCATGGAGTCAAAGAGGTCGATCACGATGTTAATCGGAAATAAGTGTCAACCAGGCTTTGAGCAAATAGCCCTTAGGGTTCTGTTACAACTAATCCAGCATTACACATCTATGTTCGTCTCAACCCCGTTAGATTCCACGACCCTAAAATTGTTGCAAAGTGTAATATTTTATTAATAGCTTGCGAAAAAAAAAATATTTTTTGTTTTTACCAAAACTTAAAAATTCATATCTTTTAAGAACATGCAGAGGTACCATGCAAAAAAAAATTAGCTAAAAACAAATATTAGTTTTTGATTTACTCAATTTTAAAAATTTAGCAATTTTGCAATTTTTCATTTTTTTCAAAATATTTTTTAATACATATATTTTTGTAGCCCAAAGTATCCTCTCTAAGACGATTCCAACATGTTTTTTGAAGCTATAATAGTTTTTGAGTTATTCAAAAAATTTACTTGAAAAACTGGAAAATTAGTGAAATTTTGAATTTTGCATAACTTTTGTAAACCTTTTTTTTTCTATTGATGGAACTTCATTAGAGGTTGAAAAAAAACTTCTGATCAAATTTCATCCAAATCGAAAGGGGTCGAGTCCAAATATTGGTCGATTTGACACGGAATTACCCATGAAAGCTTTAAATTATTTGTACAAATGTTCGTTGGCGTTCGAGTGTATTAATGAATTATTTCAATTGTGCCCAACTCAGTAAGAATTAAATACAGGTATTTTCAAAGGGCATTCTAGATTGCTAAATATTTTCGGAAAGCATATTGATTAACATTGACGTACGTATAAGTATGTAACTCTCAACTGGGTATTCAGAGCATTTAGATGTTTCAGAAAGTTGTCTAAAATTTAATGCCTTAATTGGGCTAGAAGACAATGGTATGCCTTTGCGACACCATTGTCTAGGTGCTACAAAAATCACGCTCTTAATATCCAACGAGGATTCAAACTTCTTCATGAAAGTCGATTTCTCTTTTTATTGATTGGCGCTATAGCCGTTTGAGCGATTTTCCCTAATTCAATATAGCACCGCCAGTCGGCGAGTAAAGCTAAGTCCTTGTCTTCTTCGGCTACCAACGGGTACCGCATCGAATACTTTCATTATTCGAGCCTTTCCATCCATTCATACGATGGCCTATCCAGAGGAGCCGATGTATTTTAATTCACTGAACTAAATATGTATCCTCGTTTCTTCGTATCCGGTACTCGCTGTCGCAAAAGAGACTATTTCTGCCATTCAGCAGAAATCAGCATTACCTCCAGATCTGAGGATACTCTGGACATCTTTACCAGGTCACCGTTCTATTTTTATAGACATCACAAGAGCATGCTCGCAAAGCCTAGTAAGACCGGATCGTCATCAAAACAGGGCAGTTTCATCCACGGCTTCAAAATTTGCCATGGCCCAAAGCTCCACAGAGCTTGATTGCTACATCCCGTACATGGGCTGCTATAGTTACATTGACTATATTTATAGCAGTCCCTAATACGGGACAAAAAACAATTTTGCCAATTTTTTCCACAAAAGCTAGAAGATTTTAAAGCCTCCTTCAATGATCCTATATTTATTACCCCAGAAGCAGCATTTTCATTTGGCTTATGTTTTTCGATCTTTTGTGAAAGTAGCGCATAAATATGCAATTGTAACATCTCACATTTGTAGAATATTTTCTCATAACTTTATACTGTGGGCTCGGGATTTTTACCCCGCAAAATTTGTTACCAACATTCCTAGCCACGAAAACATGGTGAAAATATCCGACAACTTTTGAACTACGAGTAGTATTCAACGGATTATTTTCAGAATTTGATTTCGGCCAAGCGCAATGCAGTGAATAGCATCCGGTATGAGCAGAATTACTAATCGTACCTTCAATTATTCGAACTTCCCTTCCAACTTTGAAAACTTATTTACTTTTAGTAAATTATTCTCATGGTAGCCTTCTTATTTGGAGTTTCTCATGTTGAACATACAATCAGGAAACAATTTTTTGGAGTAGTTTCGCCTAATGAATATCTTCTCTCCTTACAAAATTTTCAAATCGTCTCCACACCACGGCACACTGGACAGGTAATAGTACCAGAACCAGCAATCTGTGTGTATTTTGTTGTTGGTTTTGGAGTACATATAAGTTGCGATCCCGTACGAGTCCGGACTAGTCAGAAATAGTC